GAAAGAGAGAAAAGTAAAAGTCGTAAGTGGGGCATTACTTTTCAACCCAAAAACCGAAATTTTGCTTTCTGCGCGTGCCCGAGATTTTCAAGCCGCCATTTTGCATTTGGATCGAAAGGCCGTCGAGTGTTCGAGCTGTCAAGGGGTTTTTGGTAAGTTTGAGCTTTTAAAACCACAACAGTGACCCGAAATCTGCTCGACTAGCTTCAAAACACAGTTTTCCACAAAAGCTGCGGCCATTAATGGGTTAAAGTTCCTCATGACCAATGATAAAGAAGTTGTTAATTCAGGAGATGATGCCACAACAATCATTTCTTTCTCTATTTCTACTGGTTTCATTTTCCACCACTCTCCTTGACTTTCCAGGTTTTTCATAACCAGCATGAACCCCCCTCCCCCCCTCCCACATCACCACATTTGACCAAAAAAAAGTGTCAACTTACTTATTGATGACAAATGACCTGCAAAATTCACGAAATCCAGAAGAAATAATCCAAGAAGATAGAAAAACAAGAAATGCAGAGAATGATACAAGACCAAGAACTCTTAAACCACTGCTACGTGACCTGCAAGGAAAGGATAAAGAGGGTAAGTTTCTAAAGAAACTGTGTTGCTGCATCGGTGGGGGTAACAAGGTAATTTGGTAACATGAACTAAGTTGAAATTGTAAATTGGCCACTGTAAAGGATTAAAAAGCTGACGTTTCGAGCAGTAGCCCTTTGTAAGAGCGAATCAAACTTTTGCAAGGAAAGGAGTCTTGTTAATCCTTAAAAACCTAAGAGCAACCAGCATTTAATTTCTCCTTTCAGTAACAATGCTGAATCATTCAGAGGAGGAGGCGGCGGCGGCATGGCCAAGTGGTTAGGGTGCTGAACTTGTAATCCAGTATCCCAGGTTCAAGTCCTCTACCCTGCCACTCACTGGATTTGTTCTCGGTTCCCCCAGTTCAACTCCTTGGCTGCAATCTGTAAGTAGCCCACTGGTCTGCCTCCTGCCAGTGGGGATTTTCAAGCACTTAGTTAGCCTACATTGTGGCTGAAAAGCCCCTATAGGGGAGCTTCAATTAATGTATTTATTATCATTTATTATTATCATTATTCATTGTGATCATGAGAATAAAGGAAATGATTGCCAACCTAACAGGCTCTGATCGTTAGACAAATTCTCTCGTACGATATCAAAGAAAGTGTAAGAGAAGAGTAAGGAGAAGATGGATGCTGATGAAAGGGTTTATACAACATCATTTTGGACCAGATCTGAAAGGGAAAATAATATCCCAAATATAGACTGCCCCATACTCACTTTCCACACAGATCTGGTTCAATATGAGAAACAAACATTTTTTATAATCAATGTATTTTAAGGCCAAAAAATGTTTGTTACAATTTAAAAGAAGTATTTGCAGCAAATTTGGGTCACAGGTTTTGTTAGATTTTCCCTATTTTTTGGGTTCCCTGTTCTACATAGAAGCTAGTGTCACGAGACCTGTTTTCCATATTTGGTATTGTACACGAGGTCTTCTTTCAGATTAAAAACAGTTCTTACCGCCATCTTGATCTGGTTTACTGTGTTCCTGGCCTTTTATTTGGAATACACTATAGGTTTCAAGTGCAGTTTGGAATAAATTAATTACTGAATACTATAAGCATGAGTAGTTTTTTTATAGACCAAGAAGAGCTTGTAACCCTGTAGGACTACTGCAATTTGTGATCTTTTACAGTTTACAACTTATGATACAATAAAACAACATTGTAATTCAGGTGGTACTATATGAAAAAAAATTGAGGTACATGTAGCTTTTCATAAGTATGCACAGGCAAAGCAAATCACCTGCAAAAATAATTTATTCAAACTTGTGAACCCAGTCAAAACAACTACATCTCCTCGAAATAACAATTTTTATGCATATCTTTGTTATAAGCTATTGAGTCCTAGAAAAGTTAAGAGCCCAGTTGAAGAGTTAATAGCATTTTTAAGAATGATTCATCTCTATATTGCAAGTTATTATATCGCACGCAGTGCACATGGGTGAGGTGAAGTGAATCCCGTGTTCTGATGGGCTACCTGAAAGGGCAAGATGGGCCCATCTTGCCTGCTTAGTATTGCCCGGATTCATTCTGCGCATGAAAAAAATAGAATTAGAACTATGTTCATAATTCTTGGACAATTTTGACAATGGAAACGCAAAAAGCTGCTGAAGATAGTCAAAACGAAGAAAACAGAAACGACCCTCATGAGTTTGTTGTGCTACAAACACAGCTGGCCTTCTTTCCAGCTCTCAAAGGACACAAGTCATTTCTTAACTCTTAAAAAAGCCAAATCTTCTTGCAATATAATAAATCCTTAATTGACCAAGCTTGTTCCGTCAAGATGGCCGAATATTAGCCTCATTCTTTTTTCGTATTTTTATGGATCTCGACTTTGTCTCGGTCCATAAATACGCAAAAAAAGAAGTCAGCCAATATACAACCATCTTGACCTCTCACTTGGTTAGTAACACATATTTATTAACTCTTTTCTGCAATGTGTTATTTAAAAACCGCATTCCTCTCAGGCAATCAGAAAGAAGGAATATTTTTTCATGTGAATTTCTAGTAAAAATGGATGAGTGGTGAGCATTTCAATAAAAATACCAGGGTTTTCAATTGAACCCATAACCCATAACACCTGTCACAGGTGTCACTGGTAAGTGTTACAGCTGTCAAAGCGCTTCGACTAGTAGAGTAACTGCAGAATACCCTGCCACTCATTTACATGTCAATGAATAAGAGTAGCCTCTATTGTGAAGAACGATTCAAGATAACACAATAGAGGCTATTCTTATTCAATAACATGGAAATGAGTGGCAGGGTATTCTGCAGTTTAGCTAATAAAAGAATGCCTTTGTGCAGAGATAATTGAGTTTAGTTATTAAATGTTAGTCCGTTTTAGTTTTCGAAACGAATAGCCTGTCAGCGAACAATCGCTATGCTCCATAACTTCTACACAACGTTGTAGATTCTAGCCCAGGCCCCTCCAAGATGTTGTCTTCCCACATGCTAAAACACAACCCATGCGATTTGAATTGGGGACTCTACGGGCCAAAGATACGTGGCCTTTGGCTTTGTACTCAATTAACTATTACGCATAGAGGTGGCACAGCAACAGCTGTACAAAATTCCATTGAGAATCCAGAAATTAATACTAAGTTTTTCTCCAGTTAAAACACCTTTTGGAAAAAATAAGATATATTTCAGCTACCAGGCTGCAGCCTTCGACAAATTCGTACCATTGCTTAATTAAAATATTAATACAATGGTTGACGATAAAAATCAACGGTAAAACACGATGTTTCGACCGTACTTCAGTCATTGTCAAGTGAATGGAATGAAATACAGTAAATATATGTATATATATATACGTAAGAAATATGAAAAATTTTTTGCAGGTGTAAACAAACAATAAAACTACAAAGAAAGTGCTAGTAAAAAGCTAATTAAAAACCTTAGCATGAATGGAATCAGACTGTACATTGAGAGCAGGTCTTAGCTTGTGAATAAAAAACATCTCAGAGACGAGACAGCCAAATTTGTTCGTGCACTTCATTAAGGTGCTAAAGTTCTTTGTACGATCCTTTGGAGTTGAAGAATGTTTGTCGCGAAAATGTTTGCCAATTGACGAAGAGGAGTTTTTATGTTCTTCAATACGTTGGTGTAGATGACGGCATGTGAAACCAACATAACCTGCATCACACAGGTCACATTGAAATTTGTAAACAAGACACTGTTGGTTCACAATCGGCGGCTTAGCTTCTCGCAATTTGAGGTCTCGAATTTCAATGTGACCTGTGCGATGCAGGTTATGTTGGTTTCACACGCCGTCATTTACACCAACGTATTGAAGAACATAAAAACTCCTCTTCGTCAATTGGCAAACATTTTCGCGACAAACATTCTTCAACTCCAAAGGATCGTACAAAGAACTTTAGTACCTTAATGAAGTGCACGAACAAATTTGGCTGTCTCGTCTCTGAGATGTTTTTTATTCACAAGCTAAGACCTGCTCTCAATGTACAGTCTGATTCCATTCATGCTAAGGTTTTTAATTAGCTTTTTACTAGCACTTTCTTTGTAGTTTTATTGTTTGTTTACACCTGCAAAAATTTTTTTATATTTCTTACGAGTATATATACATATATTTACTGTATTTCATTCCATTCACTTGACAATGACCGAAGTACGGTCGAAACGTCGTGTTTTACCGTTGATTTTTATCGTCAAAAGTTTTAAGAAACCCTTGCTTATCATACAACGGTAACATTGATACAATTTACGTATCCATACCTTCTTCCTTTTCTTGACCTGAGTACAAACACTGAGCTTGTGATGGCAGCTAAGTTGAAAACTATTGGTAAATAGCACCAACTGGGTGATGAACCTCTTAGAATTCGAGCTCTCTCGTACAACTTTGCGAACAAAAGACACTGTCCCCCGCACATTTTCTTCGCAAAATACAGGAACGAAGAAGAGGTTATCTCCAAAATTATCGAAATGATCAAGAGAAGAGTTTCGTTAGCATTAATTTTTCGAGATAAAGATACGATGTTGAAGATCGTCTTCTTCTTCATCATCTTGTGGCAAAACCTGACTTCAAGCCGCAAGGTTGACCGTGAGAGACAGGATTCTACTTGCGCAGTAATTTTCTTGTCAGACGCGAAACCGCGCTTTTTCGAAGTTTAGTTCGCGTTGAAAGTAAACAACTGCCTTCGCGATGGGGTAAATCCTTGAGTTTTCGAGGTTAAACGTCAGTATTAGCGCTATATCATATTAGGAAATGCCCACGAAGAAGAAGAAAAAACTGAAAGCAAAAAACCTGGGCGAACAAGGTGAGATAAAGCAATGTGCTGTACAAACAACTTCACTGAACGCTGAATACGTCTATATATAGAGCTAGTGTATCAATTCATCCTTATAACTGAATCTTTTCGAAGGTTTTTCAAAATCCTCCTTATTTAAATTGGTCTTGATACTCCTTTTCAACCATAAAACAAGTGAATGAAGAAAAAAGAGGGCAGTATTTCCGTAGAACCCCATACTTCATTATGCATACCATTCTTGGATAAAAGAACACAGAGGCAAAACAACAGATTACCTTTGGGATTACGGCTTTGTTTCTGATTGGTATGGGGTTATACGGAAATCTTTCCGACTTATTGACAACCCAGTATTACATGGGCCATATACATGCAACTGTGTGATCAGAACATTCATCATTGGGCTAGTAAATATTTTTGTCTATGCCCTGACCATTCTTTTTGTGACCAGATAAGTTAGTATCATTCATTTATCTTTCTTTCAGAAGAGACAGAATCTTCAGAATCAGGAAAACTCAGTGAAACCCATGAAGTAGCCCAACATCTATCAAGAACAAGACTAGTATGTCAATATAATCTGAATTTTCATCATCTTGTAGTTCTCAGAAATGGTGAAACTTTCATTATAGTAATTTTAACCAGTTTCAACTTGTATTTAAATTTAGTAGGTTTATGACATGATGAAATAATGTTTAAGAGCTATTATATATTTGCCATCTTCAGGGCTTGACACTAACGGTAGCCCACCAGCCACAGACTAGTAGAAATTTAGTTTTGGCTAGTGGTTTTCGATTTCCGCTATCTAGTTTGGCTAGTAAACAAACTGAAATTGCCGTAACATCTAAGATGTCACTAGCCGCTTGGCTAGTAAGTTGAAAAGTTAGTGATGAGCCCTGTATCTTGTTAACCATTAGACTCCCAGAAGTGATTAACGTGTTATTTCTCTCTCTAAAATCCATCCATTATCCAGCAAATAGGTAACAAGAATACTCAAACTTATCTGGTAAAAGTTGATATCTTGATCAAGTGCCAAATTCTCATAACAAATTTACAAGGATATGTATAGTAGCTAGAGGGGAGAATTAACATCAGATCTAGAGAATTAAAGGTTAACCTTTTGAGGAATTACTTGTTCTCTGTGAAGTCTGATATTTTGACTTTATACTCTTCAGGACAAAGAAAATGCAAGTACTACAAGAAAAACAAGGTCCATGTTTCAACAAAAAGATGCCGATCCATATGATGCAGATTCTGAACCTGAACAAGGTGTCTTGCCATCCATGATTGTGGATCAAAACATTCCTTTGGGGCAACAGTTCTTGCAAACCCATCCACATTTATTTCACCAAGAACATTCCACACCAAGCATACAACCAGAGAGAAGTGTGTACAGTTCATGTTATGGGTTTGATGACTTGGTATCTCCCCTTCCCTTCTCTCCTGTCGGAGAACCAAAAGTGCCTCCTCCATGTGTTGCTAGGTCTCCTGGGTCTATTTCTGTCTCTTCATCAGTTACATCTATTTCTCCAAGAAAAAGGAAAGCTGACCTCAGAGTGTTTGATGTACCAATTGAAAAACCTACTAAGAAGATAAAGAAAAAGAAAACAACCAAAATTTTGGTGAGATATATTTTATGTGGTTTCCTATTTAACCAGTTTTACTGCTTAGGTGTTAAAGTGGTGCATACTTATTTTGATAGTGTGGTATTAAAAAAAAATTGCTGATTAAAGGGCTAAAAGTTGTTTTAGTCCAATTGCAGTAAAAAGCATGATACTACCTCTACTTCTGTTTTCAAAAATCAAGCAATACATAACCAGTGAAATTCCTTATTTTAAGAACACAACAAGTGAAAGAAATTTTCAAAAGGGTAGAGCAATCCCTTTACTTGTTGAATTTTCAAGAATGCCAAGCAATTCTAGGCAATAGGTACTACACGCAATAAATTTGAGGAGTTACCATCTGAAAAAGAGACCACTGCATATATGGAAGGAATTTTTCCTGTCTGGTCTAGGAGGCATGCAGTCATGCTTAGACATCCCAGGTATGGTACCAAATAGGGGAATCCTTGTTTACAATATTTGTCTCATTAGCGTAAGCAATTCAGTTTTCTATGGAGCTAAAAATAAATCAGTTCTGAATATCGAAAGGTCAAAGTATGATAAACTCAGCCAATGAATACGAGCCTGATGCATTGAATATTTTTTGTGCAACACAGGTTTAAAAACTCAAAATTTTACATAGAATGTTTGAGCTCATTAGCGCTTTTACCACCCAGAAATTTTGCAGTTTTTGATGGACTATTTCTCCTTGAATATTACACCCAAAGAGCTAAAAATTTCACCATGTATTAAGGTTTTCTTGCTCTTTAGCTGCCTGAAGTCAATTTGTATCTAACATGCTTCCTTCTTTACACAAAGCCGTATGCAAATGAGAAAAAATGTAAACAATGACGTCAGCATGAATCCGCCTATAGAAAGAGATAGACTGGCAGCACTTAATCTTGTGGTAGCTGCATCTTGACCTCTCGTGAGAACCTGGTCCATTCTAAAATCTTCTTCAATGATCATTGCAATTGTTTTGTAACAGAGGTTGTTTATTTTTCTTCCTCTTTTAGGATTTAGAGGATAACGACTGGGTATCTGAAATGAAATCTCAGTTTGAGGAAATAGAAATGGTTGAGCTTGTTGTTGACTAGATTGCAGCAGTTATAAAGAAATTTGAAAGCACGGAATGTTTCATAAATATTTGGTGTATCCTGCGAAAGGGAAGTTAGTGGCGAAGGTTAAAAGGACACCAATTGCAGGCTCATCTCCAGTTGCTATGGTCATATGAAGTTACCGCTTCCCACTGTGATAATACCTCTGTTATTTGTATTTATTGATTTTGCAATGCACAACCTTTAAAGTTACTGTTACTGTTTATTTCTTGTCATTTTTTCCATGCAGTTAATATTTTTCTAGCAAAGACTCAGGTTATCTGCTCAGAGCCCATGAAAACTCTGGTATTGCAATATCCTATGGCTAGTTTTTAACTGCAATAACTCAAATATTTTTGTAACTAGTCACTCACAGTTGTGAACTGAATTTCATGACACTAGATATAAAACTAAAGCATAATCATCAAAAAAAGAACTGCATCTAAAACTTGTTAAAAATTCTTTTGTGAAACAGCCACCAAGCTCCAACTACTCTGCCCAATTCTATCCCTTTCCCCTGTCTTTAATATTTCANCTTTAAACTCGGTCGTGGGGCAAGATGGCGGCCGATTTTCCGTATTTTGACTGGGCACAGAAAATTGAAGATTTGAGCAAATAGAAAAAATTTTTGCACAGAAATACTCCAAAAAATACGCTTATTTCGTTAAGCGAAAAAAAAATTTGGGGTTTTGGTGCAATCTTCACTCTGTAAGCAATCTTCATACTGTAACTGAGAAGATCGGACATGTAAGTTAATGAGATGGGAGAAGAGAAATGCAAATTATAGTTATTGCATTGCTATCTCTTCCCCTTGAAAAACTTTCGTGGGAAGGCACCTCCATCAGAACGAGTACAGCATGCAATTGGCTCAGGAAAAATATACAAGCTCATGATCTTTCCGTAAAAACCGCCTTAACTGAGATAGACATTCTGAATACTGCTCCATTTACGAAATGGGTTGACCTTGTTAGACGTGGGCAACGTGCACCCTCCCCCTCCCCCTCCTCTCGCACGTTTAGAGGTGTGTTACAGTTTTAATTTTATTTTACTCAAGGATCGAAGGGACAGGCAACCAAGGAGAGGATGTGTTACAATCTGATTCAGCATGGCAGTCGATCGTACTGTATCGCCCAACCAGGGTTTCGCGTCAAAAAGCGCGCGGGGGTGTCTTATTTGGCGGGTGCTTCCTCTAAAGGCAAATTAATTTAAGCGGTTCGGGGCCTATAAACCATTAAACAATACTTATGTAAGACATTTTATAAGCGATTTTCCTTTCAGTTTTTTTCTCATGAATAGTCTTATTTTTAATTGTGAACTCTTCTTTATCGTCGAGACTCTTTCAAGAAAGTTTTCCCTGTAAGTGAAGTCGTCAAGGAAGGATTCTTCGTCTTAAGTTAGAAAAACCTTAAACTAAAACTTGTCGCGTAACACGTTGAACAATTCAAAGCTTCAACATCTCCCCCCCACACCCCCATAATCTGAACTAATGCAGATTGGTTCGGTCAAATTCATACCCTCCTGGGTAAAAATTGTTTTCAAATAACCTTTCCGAGTGCCAGATTTGGTGGTCAAACTTTTTTGCAAAAAGCAAGATGAGTGACCGTGTCTTTCTACTCCTTGACCAACCATTAAGGTGAGTATTCAAGCTTCAAAAACTTAGACCCTTTGGACCACTTCTTCTGAGCCATTCCTGGTGAACTGTTAACCAAACACCTTTAGTCCGCTAACGCTGGGAAGACTTGCCACTTGCGATTCAAATTTTTCCAGGCAAGGTTTAAATTCTCCACCTCTCCCAGGCACAGAAGCGACGACGGTTAAATGCCCATGGGTTTCCCAGGGGGGGATGTTGAAGCTTCGAATTGATCGTAGCATAAGATCCTTCCGGCTTCACTTCTTGGTTACAATTTTCCTTCAGCTCTTTGTCGTTACCTTGCCAAGTATCTTGTCAAATCTTCTTGCCTGTCAAATGCATTTCATTTGTCACATGTTTTCTTGAAATACTGGACAAAGGCTGAAATGTCAGATTTTCGACATGGGCATTTTTTTCCAACCTTCACTGCTAAAGAAAACAGAGCAATGTCAGTAGTAGCTGGGCAACTGCGAACCTACCCCTCCCCTAACTTGTCATCAGTTGACTGTTTTTGGGTCAGGGGAGGGGTAGGGACGCAGTTGCTCAAATACTGACTGATTGATCCAAGAAAAACTGTCATGAAATAAAATCGCTTTATCTTCTAATGGTAAAAGCGACCTAATGGATAGCTGCTTGTTAAGTCAACAAAAGCACCGCAGCCGGAAACGGGTGTTGCGCTCGGGAGCTGGTAATACCCGGAAAAGCGAAATTCCAACAGGTAGTTTATTTTAGAAAGCGGAACTAAGCACGTGTGAGATAATGGAATTAATTACCTGCAAGCTTTTGTCCACCAAGATCAAAGTGAAAGGAAAAAAGGAAAAAAAAAAGTTTCTTCGTTTACAGTCAAAGACGGACCGGAGAATATTTTGTTCCAGAAGTTTATGTTATGGGCGAAAGAACTGGAATTTACCGATTGGTGAGTGAAGTTACCAGTGCGTGCTATAGGACTATAGTTTGTGTACATGTTGACTTATTTTCAGTGGCTGCAATGGCGCAGAAGAAGGCTTGAACCAATTGTAATGAGGGCGAATGGGGCTGGAAAAATAAGTCCATTGTAACAAAAAGAATTAGTCAAAGCTAAAGTTCTATTTTGTCTTTATCCCAGACACCAATGATAACAGTTTTGTTGTTTTTGTTATTTTTGCGACGTCAGAATGAGCTGATTCCCGATTTTGCCATCTCTAATACTCGGAGTTCCTCTGATGTGAAATAAATGTTTTTCTCAATAAAATAGACCAAAATATAGACACGGAATTGAAGACTAATTAAGAAGCAACTTTTGGGTGGAATAGGCTGTTCACGAGTTTGTACTCGACAGATTGAAGTCATCACAGTATTCAAATTACGAGATCAATAAACTAACTGCATGCGTCTGTATTAAAGACTCAAGATTTTTATCTTTGCATTTTTCGGCTTCAACACATTTCAAGATGGAATTTATCATATATTTTACCATGGGATGGTAACATAACTGATGATATCATAACTAACAGGGATGTTTATTCTAGAGTCTGTGGAGATAACACTCTTCAAGTTTCTTAATTTTTTTTTCTGTGTGTAGCTTCGAGACCGTTATGTTAGCACATGCAGTGGGGGGGGGGTAGGAAGAAGGAAAGGGGGTGATATGGTGATCGTGTTCAAATAAGCTAAAAGCCTAAGGACCAGTCATTAATTATCGTCAGGGTAGAGGGGGTCAGTAAGATTTAGGGGGATTACATGGTTTTTAGGGGAGGGGATAGGTCGTCGCAAACAGAATATCAAAGGGGGGACTACAGAAAATTGACTGTCAATGAAGGGAAATCATTAGAATAGTAAAGAGTCTTTGGGGTGATCAAGTAAATTTTATTTTGACACAACCAAAATCCCTCGACCCCCTCCCCCCTCAGGCACTAAATAATGATCGGTCCTCTTTAGCCGACCACAGGTTTTCACTGCAATTTTCACTTTGCTCCACAGATTCACAGAAATTTACAATCGTTGTGAAAGTTTATTTCACTCAAGGATATTAAAACTGGTTGAGATGAAGAGCCTCTCTCATCCATGGGAACATGTACCGTGAGAAATCTTCGAGCTCATATACAGAACGTCTCCATGAGGCCCATTCGAGCTTTACGACCGAGTCTCGCGCGCTTTATTATGTGCTATATTTGCGCTTGCGCGATAATCTATTTCTATTTCCGGAATTATTTGACAGACGATAGATATTATGGTGCACCTATGCCCGCAGCTATCATCTACGAAAATGCGTCTCGACCGCTGAAGACACTATCGCCTGAAAAAGCTCCATTCTCGCTAAATGAAATATTTGAGAAATTGCAGAACAAAATTAGGGGTCGAAAATTAAGACCAGGTGTTTTCGGAATAGTGAAAAGTTACAATTGGCGAGAGTCAAACGAGAAGAACATTGGAAAAGCCAAGGTTTTATCCACTACCTCAAACGGGGAAGAAAGTGGTTCAATTAGGTTTGAAAACTACAGCAGTCATTCAACAAACTATACTGACTATTTCAAGGCCAGGCCGTTTGATTTGCCGTTTGAAAGGGATTCTGCACGTAACGTGAAAGATATTTCAACTACGGCTCCAATTTCTGACAAAAAGAGTCTTGATCTAGATTTTGTGGAGATAATTCAGAGCGGTCCTCAGGATTCGTTCGTTCCTCATCAATTTCAAGATTTCCGTCGCCAGTGGTTGCGTCAGCGTCGCGCACGCGTAGACTGGCAGAAAATGATTCAACCGTGTGTCGACAACATGGCCTGGGGACAAGTAAAGAATCACTGGGTCAAACTAAACAGAACTAACGCAGTTACCAGTGAGGTGATTTTTTGGGACATAAAGCCTGCGCGGGAGTTTAGCAAGATTTTCATCCAATCAAAGACCTCAGATAATAGAACGAAAATGATTGGTGGAGACACCTGGAGAGTCTACCTACGTGGGCCATCAAGCATTGCGGCGACTCTTTTTGATCACAATAATGGAACTTATGAGGCTCTGTTTCTTATCATGGAACCAGGTATCTATCAGTTGATGATTAACTTGGATTATAGTTTATGCGATGGGTTCAGGGACCCACCAAGTGACTGGTTCATAAAAGGGAACGCTCAGGGGAAGTATCAGAAAGATGGCCTCTTAGGACTCCTGGACGACTACTTGATACAGCCCTTTCAGAATGGGAATCCTATCATCATAAATGTACCAGAATCAAAGCTCAACATATCTCTGATAGGTTAGTAAGTAACTTAGGATACGTTATAGTTTGATTTTGCTGGATTGAACCAGTAGGGGAGGAGTGGGGTAGTACGTATTACCACCACTCATTCGACTGAATGCTGATTCGAGCATGGCACTTTTAACGCTCTGGTGAAAGTCAGCCATTAAGAGAAAATCTTTAGAAAAGTGATGAATGGGGACTATTTAGTGTGACTTATTAACTCTTATTTTATATCTCCCTGGCGACGATTTCCTACATAGGCGCTGCGAACTGACCTCTAAGTAAAGAATAATCTGAGCTATCTAAATTACCCATCAGTGACTGATTAACTTTAGTGCTTGACACCGTTCACTTCACCAGGGAAAAGAGACTTAGAGGAGCCAAAAACTAAAAATCATGATAACAGTGACGTCTTTTCTTTTCCCTCTTTCAAGAACACCTGAGGAAGGATCTGGACTCATGCAGTTACACCTGCAATCACTTATGGGATGGGTTTGGCCGATGGGAAAATAATGAGTGGATTCCTTTTCTTGATGGTAAGAAAATGACAATAGTGAGATAATAGCAATATATAGAGAGTAATTACTAATTGTAAAGATGAAAATAAACAATTTTTAAAAATCGAGTTTCCAGATGGGATTTGAACCCACGACCCTCCGTGATCTAGTCGGATGCTCTAACCACTGAGTTTGGCTGTGTAGCCGCGTGATGCGGTTCCAGTCAATACCCACTATTTGACCCTTGCTCACCATAGAGTCTCCTGTAGCTCAGTGGTTAGAGCATCCGACTAGATCACGGAGGGTCGTGGGTTCAAATCCCATCTGGAAACTCGATTTTTAAAAATTGTTTATTTTCATCTTTACAATTAGTAATTACTCTCTATATATTGCTATTATCTCACTATTGTCATTTTCTTACCATCAAGAAAAGGAATCCACTCATTATTTTCCCATCGGCCAAACCCATCCCATAAGTGATTGCAGGTGTAACTGCATGAGTCCAGATCCCTCCTCAGGTGTTCTTGAAAGAGGGAAAAGAAAAGACGTCACTGTTATCATGATTTTTAGTTTTTGGCTCCTGTAAGTCTCTTTTCCCTGGTGAAGTGAACGGTGTCAAGCACTAAAGTTAATCAGTCTCTGATGGGTAATTTAGATAGCTCAGNCTAATTTCTCATTACAATATCACCCCTGAATCATATATCAAGGTGACGAGAACGAAGGAAATGATCACCAATCAAAAAGCTGTTGATTTTTAAAACAAATTCTTCTTGTTACCACCTAAGGAAATGAATGAAGAACAGTACGGAGAGCATGCATACTGACGTTGGGATGCAAAGAGTGAAAACAATGACAATATTTGAGAAACAAAATATAGTCATCGGTTAGTGTCTCAAATCGGACACTCGTGCCTAAAATCAGGCATTAGGTTAAATTCAGATGAAAGTTTTTTTAGAATCAGACAATATTTTCTCAAGGCCAGGATAATAGTTCCAAGCAACCTCGTTTCCAGGGTCTCTCATCTTCCCACCCCCTGGAGCGAGAGAAGAGAGACCCTGGGAACGACGTTGAATTCTAAGCACTCTATAGTCTTCTTCCGCTTCAAGTTAACATTCACACGGAATTATTGGGAATGGATAAAAAATACACTGTTTGTTCCGCATTTGCTGTTTTATGTATCTATGATTTTAATGTAATGCATGGTTTGTTTTTATTTGTCACTTGAAAACAGATTCCTATCACTGGTCGATGCCACGGCAGTACCAATCGGCTGGTTTCCTTTGGATATACGGGGATTCTCTTGCTGTCCGCCTAGTGAGCTCCGTTCAGTCGCGCGCTCTTTGTTCCCGTCTTTACTGGGGCTGTGGGCGGAGTTACAACTGGATATACCCTGTGATAAGTGAAGCTTTAAGTAAACAACAGAACGACGATTTAGACTTCTCATCTGAAAAGGTCATCGAGACCATTAAGGATGTTTTGCGTAGGCGCGAGATGCAACGAAGGGACAGTGTTCTACTTTTAAACCTTGGTATTCATTTTCCAATCAGTGTTAATTTCTCCACATTCCAGAGGCTGGTTGGAGATCTTATAAATGTCTTGAAGGAAACTAGAATTAACTCACAGGGAGATAGGGTACCAAAATACCCTGCAAAGGTTATCTGGAAATCATCCACTGCTATTCACAAAGAAAAAGCCGAGGTCAAAAATAAGACCAACTGGAGATTCTTTACTACTCAAGTAAGCACATAGAGGTTGTACAAAAAAAGTGAGTTCTGACCAATGGATTTAAGGTTTTATTTAGCTGGAAGACCGAGACAACATGATCTTCTTCCATTTAAAAATATGTTCAATTCAATGTCGAAATCATTGGCAAAAAGATTAATCCTGGCGCCTGGCAATTGATTATAAGCGATGTTTTATTTAGCTGGGTA